ATGGGCAAGCAGAACCTGTCGCAGATCAAGAAGGGGCTCCAGCCGGGCACGAGCAAGTTCGCGCGGGACTGGAACCGCAAGAAGAAGGAGGCGCTGGGCTGAGTTGCGCGCCGTTTGCGCGCCGCTCTCGCCCTTCGCACTGCCCCCAGCCTGGGGGACCAGCGCCGCAGGCCAGGTCTTACAAAAAGTCGTGGTCGGTCCCCTGTCCGTCCCTCTTGGGGTCGGGTTGCCGCCGGTCAGCGCTGCCGCTGGCAAGGCCGACGGTCCGCGGCCGTCCCGCCGCTTGCAGGGGCCCGGCCTGCATGAAAGAAAGATACCTCCCAACAAGGGTACCATCGAAAACAAAGAGGGCGGGTATCGAGGGTTTGGGAAATACACGTTGAGTGACACTCGAGCAGATAAGAACGAACAGTCTTTAAATTATTGTTGTTGCTTTAGTTCGATTGATTGTTTGGTTGATTGTGTGTTTGGTTGGTGGTTGTTGTTGTTGTTGTTGAACACTATTACTTCTAAAGAATTATTATTGTTGGACCCCCTGGTGCACGCCCCCCGCCCAAAACCTAGGCCGCAGCTACATTTTCATCATTTTTCTGCGAAAGCTTCAGAAAAGTGGATTACCCCCGGATCCGGTTTTTTGTTGACGCTCGTTTTCCCTTGCAAAAAACAATAGAAAATGAAAATTCTTGTTCTTAGTTGATCAAATTTCAAGAATCCCTTGCAAAAAATAAGGTAAAGTGGACATTCGCGCTCGCAAGACGAAATCCTTCCAAAACCTTAGGTTTCGTAACGATTTTAACATAAAAACATCAAAAACCCAATGGTTTTTTAAGAAAAAATTGTCAAAATGTCCTTCCGCGCGCTCTTGCGGATTCATAGGAAACACACCACTTTTTAAACATTTCTGTCAAAAGGGTCTTTGCGTGCTACTTCTTCAGGTGCTTTGAACTTCTCCAACAACGGTTGCGCGCCTGCGAGGGCCACCATCCCTTGCAAAAAATGAGACGAAGTGCACATGCGCGCGGCCGCCGCGCGCGCATGTCGAAATCCTGCCAAACACAATGGGTTTTCAATAATTTCAAGATGCGATGTTCATGTCGAAATCCTGCCAAACACAATGGGTTTTCAATAATTTCAAGATGCGATGTTCAGAAAACATATGAAAACGCACTACTTTCTCATCCGAAAAATCTCGAAATCCATTCGCGGTCTCTTGATGAATCTTTAAAACCCAAGATGGCCCCAACAGGCGCGCAAGATGGCCCCAAGAGGCGTCCATGAGGCCCAAAGAGGCGCCCAAGATGGTCCCAAGAGGCTTCAAGAGGACTCCAAGAGGCCCCCAAGAGGTTCCAGAGAGGCTCCAAGGTGGCTCCAAGAGACCCCCAAGATGGCCCCAGGAGGCGTTCTAGAGGCCCCAAGAGTCCGCCGTGAGGGTCCAATAAGCCCCCAAGAGGCCCCAAGATGGTTCCAAGGAGCCCCCCAAAGGCTCTCAAGTGGACCCCAAACCGCGCCAGGAGGCTTCCCCCCTTCCCCAAGAGGACCCCAAGCGGCCCCAGGAAGGCCCCCGACTGCTGACGCACATATCCGTAGCCATCTCGGATCAAGGTATCGCCTGTGTTCTTGGATCATGGCTTTGACGGCGAAAGACCTTCACGAGCAGTATGGCCCTGAGCTGTCGCGGCCTCCCTTGGCCGACTGCGAGAGTGCGTATTATTTGCATCAGGCGCTCCGGGCAAAGGGTATCAATGCTAGTCACCAGGCGTGCAAGACTTGGTGGGCCGTATGGCGGTCGTATGGTCAGAGCGACGAGCTTCCGAACATGCTCGATTACCAGGCCTTGCCACCGCAGGTCCACAACGTGCTCGCGGTAGCACTGCCGTATGCAAGCACCGGCCTTCCCGCCAGCAGGCGTATCGGCAATCTCATTGGGCATCTGGGACCGCACGGGTATCAGCCAGGCCCGCACGTGTATCAGCCAGGCAGCCGGGCACCCACGCGCCCGCTCCGCGCCATCGCAGACGACGATGCGTCGCGCCTTTAGTATGCTTCTGGATGCGAAGACCATTCGGTTGAGTATACCCCTACGTGTGACTGGACCTGTTTGCGAAAGCAGGAGAAAGTATGGCACCCCTTTGTGTCCAGAGCCGCGCCGTCTGCGTTCTTCCTTTCTCGCTTCTCTCCTTTCCTCCTTGTCCTGCTCCTCCTCCCCCTCTTCCGCCTTGGAGCCGTATTGGAACTGTCGATGGCCATCTCCCTTTCTCCCTCGCATGTCTGCTTGTACATACGTATAATTTCAGAACTTACCGTGCATGCGATCGTTTACAACATGGTGGACCGTGCGTATGTCACGAACCTTGTATACATGTGTTTCTCTCCCTCCGTCTGGCTGTGCACGCGCGCGTTGGGCACTGAGAGTTAGGATCATAGCGCCATGAGTCTATGAGCAATGCATGCGTCATCCTTGGGACTGTATAACATCAGTGTAACACATGTACTTCTGTAATCGCATCCCCACGAATTTGCCCCAAAAATGTGACCAACTATCTTGGCACTGCGTACCATCTCACGTGTACCGTGTACCACATCATATGTAACAGATGTGATCAACCTCTGTGGGTGTGTACCCCACGCCAGTGTAGTAGCCAGGGTCGTCCGCACGCCACGAAGTGAAGTGTCCCAACGTCATAGGGCGGGAAGCTGGGTGTGGGTGGTCTCGAAGAGTCGTTTGGATATTTGGTAGAGCTTGAACGGCCCCCCCACGAAGTGGGGGTATTGGCTGGTGTCGCAAGAAAACCCTGGCACTGGGGAGAACACTGAGCGTTCGGGTAAAATGATTGTTGTTGTTGTTGTTGTTGTTGTTTGGCGTCGTCCTCCCCGCGACCTTGCCCGCGACCCGCCGGCGACCCACCCCGCGACCCATTGCGACCTACCCGCGACCTACCCGCGACCCACCCGCGACCCACCCGCGACCCACTCGCGACCCAGCGACCCGCCCGCGACCCATCGCGACCTACCCGCGACCTACCCGCGACCCACCCGCGACCCACTCGCGACCCACCCGCGCCACCCGCGACCTGCCCGCGACCCGGCCCACGACCCACCCGCGTTGCTTTAAGGAAAAGTCGGCGCTTGCGGCGGGCTCGTTGTATAACTCATAGAAATTAGACGCTTGCGGCGGGCTTCTTCGGAGCCTCGCAGACTGCTGACGTTTCCGCCGCCCCCCCGCCAGCATCCGCGACTGCGGGGTGCTACGTTGAAGTTCAACACGGATTAGAAAAACCACAGGACCTCGTGGAAGTTTTGAGCACAAGCAGCGGACATGTCGAACGGAAGCGTCGTTGTTTGCAGGGGGGGCCGCTTGCGGCGCCGAGGCGGGAGCGCCGGTCCTGAGTAAAGACAGGGAGGTATCGGGCGGGAGCGCCGGTGTTAGGGGAGAGCCGGCTTCCGGCAGCGAGCAAGAGCCCTTGTCCCGAGCAGAGGAGGACGAAGCACCGTGCGGGAGCGTTGCTGTTGTTGGGGGGTCGGTGTCGGCGCACCCCCGAAGCGCTTGAGCGTGATCTTAGCCTTCAAGAGGAGTGCCGCTGGCGCTGAGGCGAGAACGCCACGGCGCCTCCAGGGAGTCCAACAAGAATGCTTGGTTAGTGACTCGGATTCAGCAACCATCATTTTGAGACTGCTCGCTCTTGTCTGCCCGCGTGCCACTCAGCACGTATATCACAAACCTTCGGCACCCTCCCCGTACGTTTTCGATCGTACCTTTTTGGGGGTATACCTTTCTTCCTTGCCACGGCATGTAGTGCGGCTTCTGGAACAGGGAAACAGAGGACGGACGAAAGGGGGGCGGGCGGGTCCGCAAGGCGGGCCCTGGCGGCCAGGTCGAGCAGGCGGGTTGCTGAAGCGTGAGTCCTGCACGAGTCGCGAGGAGGTCTCGAGCGACAGCGCGGTTCCCAAGTACATCCTTGGGTGTCGAGGGCGCGGCGTCGGAACGCCCACGCGAGAGCGCGGTTCCTGCAGATCTTGTGAGGAAGTTCCGCGCGAGAGCGCGATTCTGAAGTGAATTGTGAAGATTTATCAGGCGGGAGCCGTTGTTGTTGTTGTTGTTGTTGTTGTTGTTGTTGTTGTTGTTGTAAACCCAGGGCCAGGGGCACAGTTTGGTGACCATTCGCTTTCCCTTGCAGAAACAGGGTGCGAGCCCTGGGAGAAGCACTTTAATTGAAAAATCAAATGGTTACCGGGCAGGGGGGATCAACAATAATTCTTTTTGAGCATGAAAATTCAAAAATCCGCTCCGCAGAACCTCTCTTCAGCCACGCGCCCAGGGTCAGTGAATGACCGTTAGCCCCCCTCACTCTGATGTGTAAGTGTATGTGTATGTGCATGTACAGATGTAGAGTTAGATTTGTATATCAAAGCCGATGGGTATCATATATACGATTGCAACCATATTAATATTTTAATGTATATATTTGTTATGTGTGTATGCACATGCTTATATATATGTTATGTGTATGTATATGTAAATGTTAACACACATATATATATATATATATATATATATATACGCACGTGTATATATATACACGTACGTGTATGTCGATGTGCACATGCATATGCATCGGCTTACGCATGTGTGTCTGCAAATACATACGCATCGATGTACAGATCCAGTGTGTTGTTCCGGTGTGTGGCTGCCCGTAAATTGACGTGTGCGTTCAATGCACATCAAAAGCGATCTCAACCTCTCAGTTTCCACATCGCCCGAAGGGTGCTCTTATCATGTCTTGTCGGTAGAAGCGGGATTATGAGCAATGGGAAGAGATGGGGTTGGGGGGATCGGATGTCAGATGTACCGCGAACGCATTTGGCTTGCCCCTCTCTCCTCTCATCTCGCCTCTCCTTCCCTTTCTTGCCGTTTCCCCTCCCCATCCCCCATCTCTTCTCTTTCCTCCTCCGCTTGTCCCCTCAATCCTTCGCTCTCTGATGTTGGATGCAAGTGCGCGGAGGACAGCATAGGCTTCGGCCCTTTCCAGATGTCCGATCACTCCTTCATGCTCGTGGAGGAGCCCTTTCTGCATGTTGTTGCTCGTCGCATTGCATGTCACCCACTTAGCCACGCGCTCCAGATTTCACCTTCTTGGCCGCCCTGGGGGGGGGGATCATCCTCGCGGCTGGCTCAGCTTGTGTTATCTGTTAGAAGAGTGTCCAGGGGCCGACTCTGTGAGGGAGATGGTTTGCCAGAGGCAGCAATAGTTCAGTCGCTCTTCAAGGCGTGCAAGGGCGAGAAAGTTGCCACTCCAATACCATGTCCTGCTGCTTGGACGCAGATTGGGTTATTCATGTCCTCTTGGCCACGCTGGAGACCCCCCTCCCTACCCCCCTCCCTCGACGCGATTTCCCCGGCACGGATTTCGGAATTCTTAAGGTCGTTGGCGCTTGTCTCCCGTCTTCCTTCTCGTTTCTCTGCCCCCTTGTTTACTTGCTCTGCATTTACGCTTCGGCGTAATCAGAGCACAACGATGCGCGACACTCCGTGCCGCTGGGTGCATTCGAGACAGCGTGCGGATAAAGGCGCAGAAGAAAGTGTTCTGGATGAAGGTCGAGAATGTGTGTCAGCCGTCTTGTGCATGCGTCCACTGGCTCTGTCCCAGATTCATCCCCGATTTTTCCCTTGAGGAGTCAGGGTGCTCGCACGTTGGTTACCTTTGAGTATTGCGCTCCGCGCGCCCACGCTGGATGCGGGGCCACTGGATGGGCTGAAGCCGACGCACGTATTTGACGTTTTTGCGCAGAGTGAGTTCCAGAACGTCCCATGCCTTCGGCTTGTGACGCGACGCGTATCGCTATTATTCCACTTGGCGTGTGTGTGTGTGTTGTCTCACTGACGGCGTGTCTTCGCACGCTTTCCCTTTTCCTTTGCTTTCCAGCCATCTCTCTGCCCTCGCTCAATCATCCTGCGGCTCACGATGCCTCCGTCAATTGGCTTACCCACTCCCCCGACCCCCAGAAGATGCGAGGAATCATCGGAAGTCCTCATGCTGAGGTAGGAGCTTCAGTGACTCCCTGGCGTGCCCATTGACCACTCGGAGCCGTCTTGGGGCCGCCTGCGAGCTTCTTGAAGGCACGCCAGAGGTCAGATTGAGCCCACTTAGACCACCTTGCGCCATGCTGGAGGCCATCCGAGGGCATCGGAGCAGTTTGGTGCAAGACTCAGGCCATGCAAAGCCGAAACAGTGCCTTGGTGAGCTCACCCCCCCCCCATTCCCCTCCCTCCAGCGGGATTTTCGATTCCTGGTCAGGGGGAAGGGGAGTCGGATATAGTCAATCACCTCACACCCTTTCTCGCCCCCAGCAAGCGGGGGTGGGCGGACTTGGGTGCCTCTATGCTCGTGTCCTCCCCCGCTGGTCTTATCCCCCGCTTCCTGCCTCGTGCCGTCCTCGGCGCTTCGTTCCGCTTGTCGCCTGGCGTGCACTGCTCGAGAGGACGCCAACATTCCACGACATCCAGATTGGGATGGAGCGCAGGGAGGGCACTGCAAGTGGTTTGGGGACCGTGCGGCGAGCGGCCAAGCGGAGACACAGGGAGAGGAGCAGCGATGCGACGAGTCCTCTTCGTCCACCTCCCTCATCCTCCATCCTCTTCTTCGCCCCCCTCTGCCTCCTTCTCCCCGTGTCCCGCGGCTCTCGTGGCGCAGCTTGCAGACTCACCGCATCGACGTCTGCATCAGCGCTGCGGCGGTGAGCCCACGACTCGGGCGGGAGGGCAGTGGCGATCGAAGCGCAAGAGACGGTCGGTTCTGTTGCATCTTCGGGGGACCTCGCCTGTCCCAAAAATTGGTGTCTTTTGGGGGGCCCGACGCGTGCTCGATGCGGACTCGACGCGGATTTGGCGTGGATTCGACGCGGACTCGACACGGATTCGACACGGATCCGACGCGTCCGACATGGATTCGACGCGGACAGGGCCGCGACGGGACAGACAAGGCCCCCCGAGGATGCAACATAAGGTCGGGGGCGGGGGGGACAGGCTCCGGGCCGAGGGACGAGCCAGCATCCCAGCATCCCCGGCCAGCATCCCCGGCCAGCATCCCCGGCCAGCATCCCCGGCCAGCATCCGAGCCAGTGCCGAACGAGCCAGCATCCCCGGCCAGCATCCCCGGCCTTGGCGCGCGCCCGCCCGCCCCGCGCAGCGGTGCCTTTGACCGTGCGCGCGCCGCGCGGAGCGGGGCACAGAGCGCCGCGGGCCCCGGCGGCGCCGGCCAGTCTGCGGGCACCGCGAAGCGAGGCCGGCACCGCGAAGCGAGAGTAGGAGCGCGGAGCGCGCCAGGGGCGGCGCCGGAGGCGCCGCCAGGGGGGCCCCAGCGCCGATCCGAGAAATCCGCGCGGACCCTCGAGTTTTTATGTTTATGCCACTTTTTGTTCCCTAATGTACACCCCTGTCTGCGTCTTCCTCATCTTGGTCTCTCCTTGCCGCTCTCATCATCCTGCTCTCGTTGTACGCGGCAGCAGCGTTGAGGCAACCACCGCCGTCCGTAAGATTGAGCAACATCTCGTCGTCCTTCTCCTTTTCATCCTCGGCTCCACTCGGCTGCCTTGTCGCAGGACCATAAGCACTTGGGTGTTGTCACGATCGGTGCCACGCGGTAAGCTCGATAGCAGGCGAGGTTTACAAAAACATAATGTGAGTTCGAGCAAGAATATTAAGTTAACGAGGAGTAATGGGGAGGAGGAGCTTGAGTGTCACGTGGACTTCGGCACGTGAAAACGTGTTGATTATGTTTTAACCCAGTGGCATATGAACAGCGTGTGAGGCTGGCTTCGCATACATATTGTTATCTTAGTTGCCTCGATACGCCCGTTTTTTAACGCAACACGTCCCGTGTTCAAGACGTCCGTGTCAATAGGTTGCGTGTTGGCTCCACGTTTTGGACCACGTTTTGGCGAATGTATGGCGTCGGACCTACGTTTTCAGTCTACGTGTTGAGCTCCGTATCGATACGATACGTGTTGCGTGTTGCGTATTGGGGCAGTTAAGATTGTTATCCAGTTGTAGACAGCATATTGCAGATGTGTAGTGCTACATGCTATTGCAGCTATGTTCAATGCTGTGCTCGTGCTAATATTTCTGTCCATGTTTGGATTCGTACTGGGCTCATTCGTGACTCGACGCGATTGCAACATGTGTTTCCCCGCACAAATGTTGCAATGTTGTGTGAATGTCATGCTGGTTCAGTCATGGTTGCGCTTTCAGCTTTAGTGTTGTGCAGTTTGCGAAGGTCTAGACGTCAAACAACCCTGCAGTAGACCTCCTACATGTTGTGACCATCGTTTGCATGTGTCCTCTTGCAGTGTCGCACCCCAAGGGCTGTAACGCCTTAGCTCGAACCTACTGCATGCGATACCGTGGAACTTGTCGTGACACTTGCTCTTTAAAAGCCGCCCCTTCATCATGGTTGCAACATGTGGTGACACACGGCACAGGACTTGCAGGAATTTGGATTACGTCGTCGTGTCATGACTCTTGGCGGTGGACACGGATTACCGGCCCGTGTTGTTCGACGTGGTGTCTTGTTTCTGCACGAACGAAATGGGCACGGAAAGAGAGGGTACAAAGCCCAACAGCAGTTCTTGTTCATTTTGAACAGGACTCGCTGTCCGCGCCGCCGCGGCCTGTGTCTATTCGAGATAGAAGGCCGCCTGCCCAACAGCGGCCGCTGTTGGTTTGGGACAATATTTGTTGTTGGACATTGTACCCATTCTTTCCGTACCCATTGCGGGCGTCCAAATTGTTTACGATGGCGCCGTAGCAAATCGGCATGCCTGGCTAGGGTCATCTTTGGAGGGTAGTTTGTAGGCCTCCAGGGTTCGGCTACGAGGGTGTATATCATCCAGGGCCCCCCACCCCAAAGCTGAAGGGATCGGCCCCCCCCCGCTGGATGGCTACGCCCCTGAGCCTCGCGAGGACCTCGCGAGTGGGATCGCCCTACCCCCGTTGTCGTGGTCCTGCGGGCGTGGCGTGGTCCAGGGGGGTGCCATTGCAACGGTACCCTACGAAGACATCTCGGCTTCGGTGCGCACCCGTGCAGTCGCCGACGGAGCAAGTGGTGTCAGACGGACGCGCGAAGGTTACGTCCTCATCGGGCGTTAGCCGAATCGCAAAGCCTGTTCGCTACTCTTGGACATTCGATTTTGAAATCGCGCCAGGCAGGGTGCGTGCTGGACAAAAAGATCTAGGGAGGTGCATGCCATCACCAACACGGAGCGCGAACAGTTCAGGACAGCCGATTGCACCGCATGCCCGGGCTTTGCGCGTCACAGGCGCAGCCGAAAGTTCATAAGTGGATGCCTTCTGTGGGGATATAGTGGCCATTGATGAAGCTCAGGAAAACAAATGTCCTGGATGAGGCTGTCGTGGCTGAAATCGAGACCGTTTACTCCGATCGGGTAGTAGGCGTTGCTTTCAAACTCGTTGCAGTACATGCCGACATCGCAGATGATGATGCGCGTCAGCAGTGTAGACATGGCCCGTAAAGCGAGAATCAACGCTATTTGCGACTACTATGCAATCACTGGTCGGCGCGGTAGCACGCCGAAGTATTTGATTATGTTTGTTGTGACGTCGCAGCAGCAAGTCCGTGGCCTCGCCGACAGGGCCAACCACCTGGGGGCAAAGGTCGCGCTGATTGAGCGTAGCTGGATCCGTGCCCTGCGGCGTGCAGAACAAGGATAAGTTGAATATCGGCTCGATCTGCCATCCGGCGTAGCTGCTCCGACGCGGCGCTGGATCCGACGTTGCCGCCAAGTTCTTTCAGAGCCTCGCTCTTGGATGGTCATGTATTCGGGGTGGACCGTTGTCGGGCGCTGGTCGTGCATGGAAGCAAGACAGAGCATCCCTTGGAGCTCGACCCCTGATTACTTGCTGCTTGATGGCCCTCGCGTCAGCCTAGCAGTTCTGGCCCGCATCGCCCGCGCATGGGACTTGAGAGTACACCGCAGTATCATCTTGACCTGCATTTAGAACGAAAGTCAGCTCGTCGAATTGAGCTGCTATCGAAATTGAACTGCTCCGCATTTCAAAGCCGTCGTACGCATCGCTCATGCCGAAAATGCAACGTGCTTCATCCAGTTTTCATCAATTTCCAAGTTCACCCAGACTCTCCATTACATCGCATCCGTGGCCTAGTGCTGCAAGTCCAGATGAGATGCTGAGCTCGATTTTCGAAGCAGGCTGCTTGCGTGATGTGAAACAGGCAGGGCACAAAGTCTTCCCTAGCGACTTTCGCGAATTTCAGGCGAGAGGGAACTGCATCATTCTCGTCATCACTCTGTGGAATGCTGGGATCGCGCACACATGGAGGCACCTTCCACCAGGAGATCATGCCTATAGAGGGTGGCGGCGATGTTTACCAGGAAGCAGTTTGTGACGAACATTTCAGATTTCATGGTTTCACCCTTCATCGCCGCGAGCCTGGACGGGGGTGGCGCCGCTCGGAGCTCCTGGACGTGCGGCTGTTGGTGCGCAGACAGGACACTGCTTCTGTGAGCGAGTTGAGATGATGTGCGGGAATGTCGCGACATGCCTCTACTGATACGTGGGGGGGGGGGGGGGCTGGTGATAAGTAGGAGGGAGAGGATGAGGAGGATGAGGAAGAGGAGTAGGAGGAGGATGAGGAGGAGGAAGAGGAGGAGGAGGAGGAGGAGGAGGAGGAGGGTGCACCAGGCATATGTGGTCTTGGTTGGCGGGGTATTGCGCAGACAGGCCGCGACTCTTCTGCCTCTTTACGCCCACCCCCCTCCCATTGCCTCCGCTTTCTCTCCACCTGCACTGCTCTAGCAGTTGTCCGCTGTGGTGCGTCTCTCGCTTCCACTTACCGCACGTCCCTCGCCCTACCTCTCTCGTTCGCTCTCCCCGCGTCTCGGTCGACACCCTGCGTGACCAGGAGTCGGCTCGTCTCTGGGCGTAGCGCCCTCTCGTCTCGCCCCGCAGTGGCGCTTGACACCGTTGGGCTGTTTGCGATATGGGGGTTCACGGGCAGGAGGCTCGTCATCAGAGCAGGCATCCGGGGGACACCAGGGGCGGGGGCAGAGGGAGGGAGGGAGGAGGGAGGAGGCGCGCGCGCAGCATCAGCTTGGGTTCTGGTCAGTGCCCGAGCTTGTTATGGGCTCGGGCGGGGTGGCGCAAATATACCACGTCCGCCACCCGCCCGAGCTGGGAGTCGCTGTGACTCCCCCTCGTGAGAGGAAAAAAGAGGAGGACGAGGGCAGGGGCCGGTCCTGCTAGAAAAGTTAGCCTGCCCATGCCCTCGCCTTCCTTGAGGGCCGCCTCGAACTCCCGCGACGGGGCAGGGGCCATGCCTGCCAGAAAAGTTGGCCTGCCCATTCCCTCGCCTCCTTGAGGGCCGCCTCGAACTCCTGCGACGGGACAGGGGCCAGGCCTGCTGGAAAAGTTAGCCTGCCCATTCCCTCGCCTCCTTGAGGGCCGCCTCGAACTCCTGCGACGTCCTGACGGCAGGGGAGGGGAAAAGAAGAGGTGGGGGCGGCGCCTGAGCCCACGGCGCCACCTTGGCGTGCCGTCTTCTGCGCGCCACGGCGCGGTTGGCAGCGATCCTGGCCTCTTGGAAGGGGGCGAGGGCGAGAGGGACAGGCGGAGAAGGAGGAGGCGCAGAGGGGGGGGGTGAAGGGACAAGAGGCCAGGAAGCAGCTTGCTCCTCGGGGGAGCCGAGGAGCAGGTCAACGAAAGCCTGCTCATCTTCCGCCTCGAGATCCCCGGGGGCAGGAGGGCATGGCTCCTTCTCTCCTCCTTGGGAGTCCCCATCCTCGTTGCTGGAAGACTCGCTGAGAAATCTACTACCTGGTTCAGGGTCAACTCGCACCCTTCTTTGAGAGCGACGGCCTCGGGACCAAAGCCGGCAACATCAGGGGCAATCTTTGGCAGATTGGAGCTGGTGTGCTCCTGAGAATCCGAAAGGTCCCTGGCACGAGCAATGAACAAATCGAGAAGCCCATCACGTATGTCGTGTGTCCTGCTCACAAACACAGATGGGGACCTGAGAGTCCTCACCTGCAGGGACTGGTAGGGATCCTACCGAGTCCACTATCTAGGGGAACGAAAAGTGGCATAAACATAAGAACTCGGAGGGCCGCACGGATTTCTCGGATCGGCGCTGGGGCCCCCCGGCGGCGCCTCCGGCGCCGCCCCTGGCGCGCTCCGCGCGCCAGGGAGAGGGCCCCAGCGCCGATCCGAGAAATCCGCGCGGACCTCCGAGTTTTTATGTTTGTGTCACTTCTCGGTTCCCTATTATTTACCAGCCTCGAATGTATCCCTATCCCTAAGATTGACACGCCACAAGGCGATGACAATCTTAGGGATTCGCCCTCAAAAATAAGGGAATCCCTAAGATTGGCATCGTGATGAGGAGGTGCCCAGCATAGGGATAGGGATATGTTCCAGGCTGGAAAACTATCGCTGTGGCGATGGCTCTGCAAAGACTGCTGGGATGGGCCTTCTCGGAGGCCGCTCCGAGGCTGCCGTCGGCCCGCCCTCCCGGGAGGGCCGCGTGCGGCCCGCGCCCTGTGGGAGCACCGCCCGGCACCGGGGGTGGCCCGCAGGAGGCCAAGCAGAGCAGGCGCACGAGCCGAGGCGGTGGCAGCGGGGGCTCGTCCCACTGTCGGGGGCGGAAAAGAGGGGGGGGGTGATGACTAGGGAGGGGTGGATATCATGGCGGGGGCCATGATATTTCCCCAGATGTCATGGCGCCTCTTCTTATTTCATTGCGTCCCTGGCCCCCCCGCGGGGCCGCGCACATGCCGCCGGTCATGATTTGCACCCCCCCCCTCTTGGACACCCCCCTCTTTGGCCGCTCCCGACACTGTGGAGGGGCACGTAGGAGCGATTTTCAGAGCTCTCTGTTGGAGGAGGTTCGCTTCGGCACGTTCTTGCCTTTCTCGTAAAAACGCTCGATGGCTCCGGCAGTGACATTGCACCAGAGCCTCGATGCTCGCACTGCTCGGAGGCAGCTCCGGCGGCGCACGGAGCTGACCAGGCGGCCCGCCCGGCACCGGGGGTGGCCTGCAGGAGGCCAGCCAGGGCAGGTGCACGGGCCGAAAAGCAGCGGCAGCGGGAGCTCGCCCCACCGCGGAGGGGCACGTCTCGGGGCCTTTCAGGAAGGAAACAAACACACAGACACAAGTAATCGTCGATCCCCCGGAAAATATGGGAAAATATGGGAAGTGGGGGGGAGACGGAAACCCAGAAACTATGGGAAAATGTGGGGCATCCTTTTATCTGTTTGTCTTTCTTTGTGTGTCCTGGGCACCCCTCAGTCTTGGTGCGCGCACGGCTCGGCATCGGCGCCAGCGGCGCACGGAGCGGCTCCGGGCAGCCCGCACGGGCCGCGCGAGGGCTGCGCCCGCCCCCCCGGCACCGGCTGCCGCGGGCCGCCCTGGGCGGCGCCGCCGGCCGCGCGGCCGCGCGGGGCGCGGCGCGGGGGCCCCGCCTGGCGCCCTTCGGGCCCACGACGGCGACGAGCAGGAGCAGGAGGGAGGAGCTGGAGGCGCGGCAGGCGCAGCGGCTGCGCAGGGCGGGGCCCCTGGCGCGGACGCTGCGGAGCGGGCTCGGCGGCGGCGACCGGCCCCCGCGCGCGCTGACGGCGGGTCCTCCTGGTGGCGACGGTGCGGCGGCGGCCGACGACGACGCCTCCATGGAGGACGACTCCTGGGCGGATGGGGGGCGCCCAGCAGCGGCAGGCCTTGCGGCGGCCGCGGCGGGCGTGCCGCCCATTCGCGAGGCGGTGGCGGCCGTGGACGGCGGCGGCGGCGCTGGTGGGCAGCGCACGGGCCTCGCGCTCGTGCAGGTGCCCGTCGAAGTCGGCGACGCCTGCGATGACGAGAGCGTGGGCGCGATGCACGTCGGCGTGCAGAGCGCCAGGCCGTCCCCGCCTGCGCTGGGGCCAGGCGCACGTGCCGCCCTGTCCGCGGCACGGGCACGGCTCTGGACGGGGCAGCGGCGGAGGTGATCTGGGACGCCTCGGACCAGGGCATGGGCGTCGTGATCGACCCTGACGGCACGGGCGAGTGCTTAAGGGTTCCTCGCTCCCGCCTGGAGCCCCTGGGCCCCAGCGTTGGTGCAGGCTGCAGCGGCGGCGATGGCTGAGCCTGGCCATTGCAAGGCAGACGCGGTGGTGCTCCTCCTCGAGTCGAGCTCTGGGCGTTTTTCCTTGTACAGTTTGTTTCCCGCCAGTTATCCGTGCGATGCTGGGCGGATGCCCCTTCGTGCCAGGACGCCGTCCCTGGTAGACGTTGGGATGCCTGTCGTGCTGGGACGCGGTCCCCAGTAGACGGCAGTAGGACTTCGCTTGGCCGTACAAGCACGTGCACATTTTGCATTATTTGATGCCTTGTATATCGATTCGATTCGCGATTTGATTAGAAGAGTGTGCCTCGCCTCAGTGGCCTCCTGGGCCTCAGTGGCCTTTTGGGCAGGGCTGTGTTCGTTTCACTCGTGATTCGGACGCTGTCCCCTTGTTAGTGCGACACACACACACGCACGCACGCACGCACGCACGCACGCACGCGCACGCGCACGCGCACGCGCACGCGCACGCGCACGCGCACGCGCACGCACACGCACACGCACACGCACACGCACACGCACACGCACACGCACACACGCACACACGCACACACGCACGCGCACGCGCACGCGCACGCGCACGCGCACGCGCACGCGCACACGCACGCGCACACGCACACGCACATGCACGCGCACGCGCACGCGCACGCGCACGCGCACACGCACACGCACACGCACATGCACGCGCACGCGCACGCGCACGCGCACGCGCACGCGCACACGCACACGCACACGCACACGCACATGCACGCGCACGCGCACGCGCACGCGCGCGCGCACGCGCACACTTGTTGGGTCGCACGCAGCCAGGGCAGCAAGCCGCTCGGGCGCTAAGAGTCGGACGTCACGAGAGGACGGCGGGCCCCCCGCGGGGCAGTGGCCGGGCGGCAGCGGGGCCAGGCGGGCTCGGCAGCGGCAGGGGCCGAGGCGGCCGGGGTGCGTCGGCGGGATCGACGCCAAAGTTAGGCGTGAGGCGGGCAGCACCAGACGGAGTTAGGACGAGGAGGAAGCCGTTCCAGAGCGTTCCAGAAGGCTCCCAGAGCGTTCGGGAACGCTCTGAGAAGGGCGCGGCGCCCGAGACACGCTCCAGAGCCGCTTCGTCGCACAGCAGGGGGGGCAGCCCAGGGGCGGCAGCGGCCGGGCGGAGGCGCGCCCCAGGGGCAGCACGGGGCAGCGGCGAGGGCCGAGCGGCCCAGGGGGCCGGCAGCGGGTCCCTCGCCGGAGGAAGGCACGCACGCACGCACGCACGCACGCACGCACGCACGCACGCACGCACGCACGCACGCACGCACGCACGCACGCACGCACGCACGCACGCACACGCACACACACACACACACACACACACACACACACACACACACACACACACACACACACACACACACACACACACACACACACACACACACACACACACACACACACACACACACACACACACACACACACACACACACACACACACACACACACACACACACACACACACACACACACACACACACACACACACACACTTCCTCGGCGGGGTATCGCGCTGCGTCTGCTATCAGCTTGTGATTGGCAGACGGCGTTGCCTCCCCTCCGATGGCTGGTGAGTAGACCCCTTTGGGCGCACTTCATGT